TTTTTTCTTTTTTTTTTTTTAATTGAACACACAGGAGCAGTCCATAAAGCACTAGTACCTTTCCCGCATGGAAAAATAGGGAAAACTGGCAGTTTTCCCAAGCGCCTGAATTTTCGGAGGTCAGAACCGACGACGACTGCCCTTGATAAATCTGATCGGCGGCCTTCGTTTCTTTTCGGCCGCTGCAAAGGTCGGACGCCTACCCGAGGCCCGCTATTTTCCCAGCGGGAAAGGTACTGGTGGTATAACATAATCCCAGCGGGAAAGGTACTGGTGGTATAACATAATTTATTTCGAGAGTCTCAGGAATGCACTATGAAGTGCTGGGGCCAAGTCCCACTAGCAGCGTTGAGCTACCTCAACGCCTGAATGCGGACGCTTTTGCGGAGATGTGCAGCAATGGTGTTGAGTTTCCTGCACGTCTCCAAAAACACGTCCAGATTCAGGCCTTGAGGTAGCTCAACGCTGCTAGTGGGACTTGGCCCCTGGTTCGTGAAGTGGGGCCTCGCTACGCTACGCTACTCAACATTCCACATGTGTCTGGACTGCCTGGTCGACAAAATACACTCGGACTGATTCAACATTTGGAATGAATCAGAGGGATTTTTAGCTCCACATACATTTACAAGCTTATCCAGTGGAGTGAGGCGCCATTTCTTCAAAATGACTAATTTAGTAATTTAGTATTTATTTTTTTAGTTTTAGTTTTTAAACATCCCACATTTATTACGCATTAGAAAGAAAAAGAAAAAAATTAGTATTTAAAAAATGTATTTTTGTAGATTTTATTCATTTCTGTATCTCTATTATTCGTAGACTTGATTCGATTCTTTTATGTGCCCCCCCCCAACCTCACCCCACCTCTCCCCCCCCAAAAAAAAACCTCCTTTATTTTATGATGTCCTCTACAGCGTCAAAAACGATATAAGCTTTTTTCGTTTCCATTTTTTCCAAAAAAAAGAACGATATAGCTGAGATAATGATGACGATGGCGATGGCGATGGCGATTGTAAGACTTGGGGATCCGATTCATTCCAAATGTTGAATCAGTCCAAATGCATCTGGTCGACAAAACAGTGCAGATACATGTCGGGTATTGAGTAGTGGAGGAGGGCCATGCTCACAAACTACCACTACATAGTCATGCATCCCTGGGGGGTGGTCCCACTAGCAAAGAGGATGGGATGGAATGCCGGAATCTGGACGAGGTTATGGAGATGTGCAGGAAATCGAGATTGAACTGCTTTTCTGCATCTCTGCATAAAACACATCCAGATTCAGGAGCTCGATCCTATCCTTTTTGCCAGTGGGACCCAGGTCCATTAGCCGAGCGAGGTCCATTAGCAGTGGGATAGGAGTGTGGCCGATCCAGTGTGACACTGAGTGGCAGCGGGCTGACAGGTTCATTACGAATTTCTGGGCTGAGAAAACAGAAGAAAGGCAAAAAAAAAAAAAAGCAGAAACAGAGACCTCCCACAGGAAATCAGGGCAGAGTGCTTCTCAGCCATCAGATCACGAATGATCTGATGGTGGTGGTTGCAACAACAGTGAACAAAGTAACCGCCACATTTTCTGGAATAAACTCGACTTCTGTCGGCAGTGATCCTGACTCCCTTTATATGCTCCGTGATTGAAGGAGGGCTCCACCCACCCAATGAGATAATTGCACAACAGCAAGCAATCAAAATACTGAAAATCTTCTATCCAGTGCCCCTATGCCGACCCCACCCTCTTTTGGGGTTGGCCATACCCCCAACCGATTGAAAAGATTTTGGCGGGAAGCTTTCTTTGCACGGGCATGCCCAGTGTTAAGCAGAGCAGGAGGGGAACAAAGATCTCCTTACTTTTTTGGGTAATTAAAATACAAGTAAAACACTGACCGTGGGATCACGAGTACTGCACGGCAGGATTTGGGTCACTAGTACGCCACACAAACTCGTTCCTATCCTATCCCGTTGCTAGTGGGACCATGCTCCGGGCTACAGACGACACTGACGATGACGATGCCGATGGTGATGGTGAGGAGAAAGGAGCTGATGATGAAAGCTGGAGAGAGACGATGGCTATGGCGGAAGCAAAGAGATTGGGAAACCGAATGATGGTGACAAATGTTCCCGGAACAAAAAAAAAAAAAAAAAGGGTGTTATTCAACACCTCACTCCGGGGGCAAAAAGATCCCCCCCCCAAATAAAAAACCTCCTATTTTGAGCAACCTTATAGTTGCTGTAATTACGAGACACAGTCTGGTCGTGAGCTTGAATGCTTTCCTTTTTTTTTTTTTTTTTTTTTTTTTTTTTTTTTTTTCCCCAACACCTCACGACTATTTTCTGAAAGTGATGAAGACGAATCCTTTTTTTTCCTTTTTTCCCTTCTAAAAGGGGCGACAGACTTGAGGTATCACCATTGCGAGGATCAGGGTCCTCGGTAGGCCTATGGGGCCCTGTTTGCAGCATTACCCGCCCTAAGTGAAGGTGGAGGTGCCCGCCCTAAGTGAAGGCGGGCCTGGCTTTTTGCAAGAGGCCCTCGACTGTCAATTTCATATTTGGGGTCCAGGCAGTTGCCACGCGGTAGTTGGTTGAAAGAAACACAGGCCGAGCAACAAAGATGTTTCCACGGCCTTCCAGGCCTTTCCAAAGAATGCAGGCCCTGGGCGTGATTCGCAGCCTCATACAGAGACAGTTGGGCGCCCAACCGAACTAGGCCCAGCAGCCCAGTAGCTGCTGCATCCAGGCAGCCTCCTGGGGCCTTCCGGAAGCTTCTGGGCCCAGGCCAGCCCAGCCAGGCTGCGCGAGCAGGCCAGTTCTTTCCATAAAGGAAAGAGCTCTGGCCAGGCAGCCTCATTCGGGCACTCGCATGCTGGGGGCAGCTCTGCTGGAGCTAATGCTCGTGGGCTGCTGCTAGCGCTGGGAGGCGAGGTGCAGCACGTGCGGTCGTGCAGAGGAGCAGGGCGCTGCTGAGGGCAGCGCAATAGCCCAGCCACCATAGCTGGTGGGCTTGAGGAGCAGGGCGCTGCTGAGGGCAGCGCAATAGCCCAGCCACCATAGCTGGTGGGCTTGAGGCGCAGGGTTGGTCTTCGGGTGAAACAGAGGGCAGACGTGGGTGTAGTCAGGGGATAGGTAAAGAAGGATGATGATGATGATGTGAGGGCACTTACCTTGTATCGGCGATGGTCTGCATGGGCGACATCTTCAAGTACTTCGGGCGGCCGCTGATGTCAACAGTTGCATTGTCATTTCGTAGTCTGTAGTAGCTGTGTAGGAGTAGGCTGGGCGCTGAGCGCCAAGTGTGAGTGTGAAGGAACTGGACACTGTGTTGAGAGGAGAGAGTATGCTCTCCATGAACATTGGTTTTCAGTGCTACGAACCTCCATGGGTGTATTATTGGTGCAATGCTGCTCTCTGGACACGGTGTGACTATCTGGCTTTCAATATGATGGTGTGAACTGGAATTGTCACCTCGCTGTTCCTTATTTTCCTTGCACCATCGTTATTCCCAAAAAAAAATACAAAAAATCACCATCGTTGAGCTCACCGACCCTGATAAATTCAGAGTTAATTTTTTACTCAGGTCTGTTCTTCGACAGTTCACAGGCCAAAAGTTGGTGATGATGATGAGGAAACACGTTTCTTTTTTTTTTTTTTTGCTTTCGTTTTCCCTTTTTTTAATTATTATTATTTCTAAACCGGTTCTCTTCCCCCCCCTCTCTTCAACTTAAATCCTACTAGAACCCCATCGCTTCCAAACTTCTGTTGTCCAAATCTGACTGATTGAAGAAAATTTTTTTTTTTTAAATCGGACGGATAAAACCGTGACAGTGCTCTCGCTATGGGCCTCGCTCCACTGCTCTCGACACACGCACAAAAGACAAAAATCATGGCGGTGTATCTCTCCATGTTCTAGCGAAAGATTCACTCTCGTTTCGCACATTTCGGTCGCAGTGGAGCACGGCCCCGTATCACTCTTTTTTTTTTTTTTTT